ACTTACATAGCATGGTGTTATAAGGAAAGATAGAATAAGAAGTGAATGTCTTTTGGAAATTAGAAGTTGCATTGACTGAATATGATTTTAGTTGGTTTGGTTTTATGAAAATATAATCCAACTATGTTGGTGTGAATGAGATGACTGGATCCTGCGCTAAAAAAGATTCAAGAGGAAGGCCAAAAAGAATGTTGGTTGATGCTATGAGACATGATATTGATGGCTTGTCTCAAGGAGGGTATAGCGTTTAATAGAGTTGAGTGGAGTGGTTTATTTACTCAAGCAATCAAGTGACTGGGATTTAAGCTTGATTAGTTGAACAAAATAAGTACATATTTGGTTATGCTTCGTCCTTTTACAACTTCACCTTAGCATTTCTTTTGATACATGGTTCCTATTTGTGATGTTTAGTTTTGTAGTGTGAATATTGATTTTCATCAACTCCTTCAGTGGATCTCTTTTTGCATGGAGTATATTTCATCTTATTTAGTCATATAGTATGCTTTACTTATGGTGCAAGTTATACCGGTCCGGCACTAAATGCACCAAATCCCATTACAATTCCACGTCAAAGTGTGATTAAGTGAGAGATATACTGGGATGTGTGACTTTGCTATCCACTTTGCTCTTTCAATCAATTAGGTGCTTGAAGGACACTTTCCCGATTAATGGATATATTGATGGAGTTAATGTTTTGTAACTCATTAATCTTTTCACGCATTTTTCTTTAGACTTGTTTTAAATTTGGGGCTTTCTTTGTTAGTCATGTTTTATGAGGCATCATGAAATAATGGTTATTTTTTTTATATTTTCTTTTAATAACATATGAAATTTTTATGATTTAAGAAAATTCTGTCTTTATTTTTTGCTTTAGATCGAGTTTACTCAACGGAACTTCCGTTGCAAACCAATTCTTACTTACCAAGATGGGTGAGTATTTTGTTTATTATTTTGCAAATATTTTGATGTTTACTTGGTTGTATTGTTAACATTTAGGCAGCATGCCTGTCTAAGACTTTTCTTTGTTTGTGCAGGTATTTCAGCATTCATGCTTGTTAGCATTGTCTTTATTCCCATTGGAGTAGCCTCCTTGTTTGCTTCTCGGGATGTATGCTCAAGACTGATTTTTGCTCGTAGAATTTTTTTTTTTCTTCAATTTTCTTTTCTTATATCATTGATTATGAGGTCTTTTTCTTTGCATTAGGTGGTTGAAATTAATTTATCGTTATGAAACTGACCTGCATACCAGTAGCCAATAAGAAGTGATACGGTCAAAATACAATTCAAAGCTCTGAGGATAAACTTGCAACAAACCTAACCGGTTAGAATTCCTCCGCCATCATTCATCATATTATTATTAGGTTATTAGAAAAAATCCATTTTTACCCATGTGGTATGCCCCTGGAGTACTGACCCATTTGTCTTTTAAAAATACTCCAATACCTCCCCACATAGCTGTTAGTCGTTGTGGGGAGGTGGCTGGGAGGTAATTGGGAGTGCTAGGAATGGTAGGCGGAGGTGGTTGTGTAAGTTTTTGGGAAAGAAGATGGTCATTGGTTAGAGGTTATGGTTTTGTGAGAAGAAATGAAGATAAGGGTAAATATATTTATCAAAAAAAAAAAAAAATAAGAGATAAGGGTATTTATATGTCCCTTGGGCTTTTGACTGATTTTTTTTTTCTTTTCTAAAAACAACTCTCAACTTGGGCTCATGCGGCACAAATTAATGTCCAATTTGGATGGTTTATTAAAATGGCAAAATCATGTAGGCGGTATTGGCTATTTTTAAAAAACACATGATTCAAATATCAGGTTTCTAATACGAGTATAAAAGCATGAATTTAGTTGTTGTGGTTTTGGATATTGATAAATTTGCTTCACCTTTTTTTTTTTCCAAAATGTTCCAGGTACCGAAGCATATGAAGCAACCTTATTTGTATTATCAGCTTCGACAACTTCTACCAGAATCATCGCAGGTATCTATAACTCGTCACTTGCTATATCTAACAATTTATTTTTCTAGTCTTGGATGACAGTGGTTATATGATCAGATGGTTTTATGCTGCTGAAAGTATACATTTCTAATTTCTCTCCCACCTTCTGGGACAATTACTGGGACCTCTGTGATCTGAAGCCGTCTGTTTTCTGAACACGTCTGCTGATTTTTTTGTTGTGTGGTGTGTGTGTGTGTGCATACTACAAAGTTGATCTGATGATACTTCTTTTATAGTAAACTGATGAGGGGATGCAGAGCAATAGGTCGAATTAACCTATGTAGTATTGCTCTTTATTGGAAGAAGCTAGGAATAGTGGCTGTCTTAGTTTGGTTGAATAGTTTTAGCTATAGCTGGTACTACTGGAAAGCAAATCTGGGAAGTGGTGTTTTAGGAAAACTATCACTCACACTTGTTTTGTATCACAAAAATATTTAACCTTTTCCGTTTGCACTAAATTTTTGCAGAAAGTAAATTTGGCAATTAGTTTTGATATTTTCCCAAAACTTGCTTTGTGAACACAGAAATGTCTATTGTTTGTTCGCACAATATTTTGAATTAATATTAATGTCGTGGATCACAACTCTAACAAAACATGATCAATATGCCAAAAGGCCAAGGTCTAATGGAATGTGTCCACAGTAGCAGTTTTTAGTAGTGGGTTTAATCCATGAGGATTGACCTTTTTTCCTTTATTTTCATTATTTCCAAAAACAAGATGAAGCCGTTCTTGTTTATGGCTAAAACAGTAGGATATTTGGTTTTGATTTGATGAGAACCTGAAAGCAATTTTTATATTTGATTATTTTTTGGCTTCAATGCTAATAATCTCATTTTTTCAGGTATGTAAGAGCCCGGAGTGATCAACAGTTGAAATCTGCCAAGGATGAGATGGAAAACAAAGCGGCATGTAAAACCTGAAGATAAAGTTGAATAACATGACAATTGTGTCCTTGCGAGTCTTATACTTGAGTTTGTTTCATTGAATACTTAACAGCTTTTCTGTCAACAGCAGCCAGCAATTGACAGTAAACAAG